TATTGACTATATATAAAGTGTTTTTCCCACGGCACACCTTACACTATGTCACGGCACACTAGTGTGCCGCGGCACAGTGGTTGAAAAACACTGTAGTCCAACCGCCTACTCAGGCAGGAAGCCCTATACCATTTCAGACAAATGGTTGTCCAATCTCTTCTTTAAAACTTCCAGTGTTCAAGAATTCACAACTTCTGGAAGCAAGTGAAAACCTTCTGTGATCTTCTGACAAACAAAATCAATGGAGAAACCAAATTCATTGAACAAATGTCTTACTAATTTAACAACTGTAATGATTTGCTTAACAACCGTGGCAGGAAAAGTCATGAAATGGGCAAAAATCACTGAACAACTTTCCCATAAAGCATGGAAAATTTTGTGCTCAATTCTGGTCATAAGTAGAGTATATGTCTTTTTTTTCCTTTTTTTCTGGTCCCTACAAAAAGAGGAAGACGACCACAGAAGGTGGACAGGAAGTTGGCCTTGCTGAGAATATCACTGACATAGGAAAAAGAACAGAAAAAGTTCTTCTGGCAGAAACGAAGTGTCAGATGTTAAGTCGTGTGTGTTTGGGAATTGTTTTTTTTAAGTATTCATGACATCTCCTGGAACCACTTAAGGGTCCACTGCTGTCTGTTGTGGTTTCTGAAAGGCCCCCAAAAAAGAAACAGAAATCATCTATAACAAAGGTCACCAACCAGTCGTTCGTGGACAACTGGTGGTCTGCGAGAAAATTTTGGTGGTACTCAGTGCACCCGGGTGGAGGAGCTGCTCCGGGATGACCAATGGGCCACTCCTGTGACTAGAGCTCTGGAATATAGGTCTGGCCAGGCAACTCATAGTGGGGTTCGAAATCTCTGCCATACAGGGGGGTAGTAACAACATGCAACTTTGCAGATGATGCAATGTGCAAGGAATAGCACAGCCCTCACTAGCCAAAACAAGGTAATGATGCTGTTGCGGCAAGAGGGAGGATGGCAACCCGGACAGGCTGAAGCAACAGGTTTCGGCATCCCGCGGCTCTTTCGTCCCCCAACTGTGACTCCCTGTCGGATGATCCTACCACTGGCTGGTCCCGCTCCTCGCCCTCCCCTCCCCATCACTCCACCTGGCCGGAGAAGGCAAGGGCGGGGGATGGAGATTCGCTCCATATTACATAGCGGGAGCAAAGCTTCATCACTTGCTGGGTCTCACAGGTATTTCTTCCGGCCCCTTTGGTGCTGCGCAACTGGGAGACACATGACTTCCTCTCCACACCTTGAGACACTGGCTGGCCCGGCTGCGGCTGATGCCACTGCTCTCACCGCCTCCATGGCCTGCCTACTGCTTTGCGCAGCACACTTAAATTTAGTGCGCTTCACAATGGGGGAGACACCGCCCCCTCGAGCCTATTACGACACAGAGCATTGGCTACAGCCGGGTCGAGCAAATATCTCGGGGGGCGAGCAGGTCATGCAAGGTGTGTCCAGCACCAACAAAGGCCAAAAGCCGAGGTGGCACAGTGGTTAAATGCAGCACTACAGGCTACTTCAGCTGACTGCAGTTCTGCAGTTCGGCTGTTCAAATCTCACCGGCTCAGGG